GGTGTCATTATTCAAGGCATGGAGATCAGGCCAAACTAGCAGGACATCACAAGATTCTCTTACACCTTGTGTATTTTATGTGTGGGAGAAACATTTCTCCTCGTGTTAAATTATGGTCAGTTCTATTGTCGTCTAAGCGTGGTCTCTTAATCTTTATTTGAACAATGTATGGCTAATTTGTGGAGTTAATTACTAAGTTTGAAGTGACTTAGCGTGTTTAATTGTCTGAGAAAAGAATCCTTTAAACTGGAATTTATGATTTTAATTCAGCTAGATTTAGTGTTGGTTTATGAAATATGAAGTTTGTATCAGTTTGGTCCATAATCTTAATTTTTTTTTTTCCCTCTGCAGTCAAGAAACTAAAGAAATCGCACAAACTAGGTTATTATCGTTCATCATCTGTCAATTTGATAGGCGGAATTTCACGCAAGGGCTTATCAATTGCTCAAAACCCTGGAAGATGTTTTACAAACTTTAGATATCTTAGGAGAAACAAATGAAAATGGTTATTGCCACAAACCATATACGACTACGCTTCGTATGAACTTAAGACTTTTTTTTTTTTTGGCCAACAAGCATGCTTATATATAGCCTAAATAAAAGATCCATACAAAAGTCTTGGACAAAGGGCACGAACCAGAAGGGGAAAAATAGCACTTGAACAAAGCAGGAACAAAAACAAAACACCAAAACACCGTGATGAAATCCTGCAAAAAGGAGACGAGGATGGGGGAGCTCCTACCAGAAGCTGTACATACTCCTAATAATAGGCTTTGTTTGAAGAACATATCATCTACTTCACCTTTAGTCATCTGAAATACAGCACCATAGAGAGGAACTAAGAAGTTGAGACTAGCTAGTTGTGCAAAGCAACACAGCACCTCCGAGGAGAGACCTCATACTAGTGAAACAGAGGAAAAAACCAAATTGAGCAGGGGTAGAGAGACCACAGTGGAGCAGTAGCATACAAGGAATCCATTTCTGCTTATGACGAAAACGAAAAGTGGAGGAAAAGAAAGGCCACCAGAGTAAGTATATGATGACATGGACAGATAAAGATCTTGCTGCCATGCACCCATAGCTCTCCCAGCTGAGACACCCACTCCAAATTGCCCTAAAACAACTCCTTGCCACCATTAATCTCATGCCATCATCAAGTAGACAAGTAACCATATAACAAATATTTTTTCTTTTCTGAAAAGAACAACCTAAATCATCAAAATCCTTTGCAAAATAGCCAATCGCATATTTTAAACTATTCTCCAGGGATCCATAATCATCAATGTAGCCCTTCAAAACAATCTTCCCAATCTAGCTAGTCATAAGTATAACTGTATAAGAGCTATCGGATTGAGAATCCAAAACAAGACAGTTCTCCTACATACATCTGCCCCCAAAAGATCATAGAAATTCATTTGCATCCATACTTCATATATGAAGAAACAATGTCCAAAATTGCAAAAACACATTTTCTCAATGAATAGAAATATTCCCAACAGCATCTTAGACAAAATACTAACAATTCTAACAGCATAACTCAAGGAAATTACCCCAGGCTCATGAAATAATATCCTGATTGCTACTAATCTATGGTTAATTGATAAATAACTCTTCAGAAATGATTTCCCTCTATGAAATTGAAACCACATAAACATCTGCAGAAACAGGTAAATAGAGGGAAAAAGAACCTGGAACACCAAGGAATGAATCCACATCGTCAGTATCCCTTTACACAATCCAGCTTTTTCAGTTGCCCAAATTTCCAAGGGAAGGACACCTAGGCTAACTCCGAGATTTATACTTTTCTGATAGGCCAATATGAGTTGGGAGGATTATGGACTTGAAATGAAACTTCAAAGTACTGCAATCAAATGTCAATTGACCCGATCAAAGTCTTTGGGATGAAGATACTCTTTTGGGGAAAGGGTCTGAGATGATCTCTGATTTGATTCAGAACCCAAATCCCACTGCAAACTGCTAAAATCAGGGGCTCAAAGCATGAGATAGGAATTCTAGGGTTTATGATGAAGGTTGAAAAAGGAACAACACAGAAACTATTTTTGGGGTTTTGATACCAAAGGGACAACGAAGAAACATGATATGGAAGGCAATGAAAGAGGTGATAGTATATACAATGAAAGAGAAGAAAAACAATTGAAGTTAGAAGACTAACAGAGACTGGGAACACCCAGCAGCGACTCCCATTCAGGAAGCAGGCACCCTCATTTTTTGGGAGAGAGCGAGAGCCCTAGCACTTTGAACTTACAGCCTTGTTCACCTAATTAAATACTGAATTTAAGTCCTAAATTTGGTGGTTCTAACAATTTGACTTATGGCAATAATCATTCCCATAAAAGAGTGTTGTTTTACCATTTGGGATTTATAATTAGGGATGTTCATGGCTGGTTTGGTTCAATGTTTGATCATTTTCCCTACCAAACCAATCTAATCTTTCTTAATATATTACTGTATAAAAATTGTTAAATTCTCCAATAAATCTCGAATAAACACAATAAGTCTTTTAAAATTTTTAATAAATACCATATAAATACTAATGGGCCTTTAAAAATTTTCAATAAATATCAAATAAATGCCGAATGGGTCTTTAAAAATCCAAACTCAATAATATTTTCAATAGTAATCTTTCCATAAGCGTCTTCACTACTATATTTTCAATAATAATAATCTTTCCTTTTTAATACAATTCTACTTCAATTTGACTTTAACTACTTTAATTATATCTTTTTATCTTACTATATTATAAAAACTATTAAAATTTTCAATAAATCTCAAATAAATACACAATGTACCTTTTAAAATCTTCAATAAATAATTATAAATATAATTTTAATTTTAATTATCAAGACCTTAAATTGACTCGACAAATTGATTTGGCAAAAAAAAATTTTTTTTTTAAAAAAACACAAAAAATAACTTCTGTTTCTATACTTCAACAATTGATTGGGCAACTTCAATTCCAAATTAATTCTACAACTTGTTCAAGTCCAATATGCTATATTATAAAAATTATTAAAATCTTCAATAAATACCAAATAAATACCTTGAGTCTTTTAAAATCTTTCTAAAATCTCAAATAAATACTAAATGGAACTCTTAAAAAACTTCATTAAGAAACTTGAAACCTGATTAAATTATATTAATGCCCTTTCAAATTTCATGACGAGCACAATACATATAACTCCTTATTAGATTAATTCTCCACATAATAATACTTAATAATAATCTAATTATATCAAACTTCTCACTAATTTTTATTAAATTCCACTTTAATTATCATAAAATAATACGACTTTTACATCTAAATATTTTTAAAGTTGAAAACAACTTATGTAAATATATAATCTGACTTCTATTTCAATTATATAATGTGTTTAGCGTAGATACAAATTATATTATATTCAAAGTGGCACTTTGCAAATTGATCCTTATTTACTCAATTATTCTTGGACTAAGGGAGTACTGACTAAGATGTAAATAATTCTAGATAAATGTATTTCTTAATAATGATTACTAAAATATCAAAAACTTTAAATAGCAACAAATTGTAGTATGTATAACGAATGTGTATCAACAATCACTTGATAATGACTACTATCAACTTATAAGACCAATTTAAAAAGTAGAGAATGAGTTCTAAATGAACCACCTAAGCATAAACAGGAAGTAAGAACACGTACAAGGAACCTAAAAATAAAAAAGGAACCTTTGCGAGAATAAAAAAAATTGTTCTAACATTCTCTTTCTCTTTATCAAAAGTCTAAACTATATATCAAAAAATTATGAAAATGGAAAAGTAAAAGCCCTTACAGGCTTTCAATATATTCATTAAGAAAAAGAGAGAAAGATAGAAATTACAGTAAAAATGATATATGATAATAAATAAAGATGCAAGAAGTGACTAGGAAAGAATAATATGGAGGGAATAAGGATAAGAAGAGAAAAATTAATAACAAACAAATTATTAATATATATATATATAGAGAGAGAGAGAGAGAGAGAGACGATGAGGGCAAATGTTGAGTAAACAGATAAATATAAAATGTGAAAGAATACGCTAAGAAATGGAATCCCAAGAAAAATTAATGAAAGGTGAAGCATAGGTAAGTGAAAAAAGCATCAACACAGAAAAAATGGTGTAAAAAAACAGATATACTTTGATACATAAAAAATTTAAAGGAATAACTAAAAAAGAAGGATAGAGATGAGAGGATAATGAGAAAAAGAATAATGATGAATAACTTAGTAATATAAAGAGGGAAGAGGAGGGAGACAATGTAGGCTTTATATCTTTTATTGGTTAAAACTTACAACTTTGTGGATATGATTATAAATTTATTGCAAATTACTCCATTATTTGTGATTTACTGATATTTAAAATTATTGTAATCTTAAGAAAACAAAAAATATCCAATGATAGATAGAGAGAGAAAATTGGGTTAAAAAGATATATAATAATAGATGAAGATGCAAGGGGTAACTAAGTAAGAATACTTTAGGTGAGGATAAAAAGAAATAATAATAACAAACAAATTATTAATGTAGAAGGGAAAGGGGCAGGCTTATCAAAAAAAAGGGAAAAAAAAGAGGGAAAGGGCAGACATTGTTTAGAGCAAGAAAGGTGAGACGATAAATTAAAAGATGGTTTCACTGGAAAAATTAATAAGTGGGAGGATAAGGGGAGAAAAAATAACAACAAACAAATTGTTAATATATATATAGAGAGAGAGAGAGCAAGAAAGTGCGGCTGAATATGGGTAGATAGATAGGTATAATAATAAAATATGTGAGCTTAACAGTGTTGTAGGAAAAACTAATGAAGGTCGAGTATAAGTAAATGAAAAGATAACAAGAAAATAATGCTCATGAGTTATGTCTTTTATGTTTTGACCTAAAACCTCCTAATATAGGCATCTGAGAAAAAGGACACAAATTAGCCCCTCAACCTAAATCAGTAGCATACAACCCCCTAAACTCTTTGAAAGTGGCAAAAAAAACCCCTTATCTGACACATTATAAAGCTTACCTTGTGTTCAAGGTAACAAAGACAGCTTATGGATTTGAGTACCAGCTTGTAGAGGTAAATGTTGGACTTGTAGGAACTGATTTAGGATACTAGAGGCAAAGACAAGAAATAGGAAATGAGTATTTTGCAGTTGGGTGGTCACTGGAATGATGGTCTCATTATTCAATGCATAGAGATCAGGCCAGTTAGTAGTAAATAAATAATAAGATTTTGTTTCCATTAATATGTTTACACCATAAATTACAAAGTTGTTTGATGATACCACATGTCACATTATTTTAACAAGTGTCTATGATTATGCCATGTCAAAAATGTTGCTGTTATAATCCAAAGAATGATAAACCACCTAGATGGACGCCACAGGAATATCAAATATGTATATTTGGTAACTATCTCCTAACTATCTGATGTTATTTGAGTTAGTGGAAAATATGCATTAATATCTGCAATATCCAGATGATTCCCAGCATCTGAAAATTTTGCTAAGATACATGATTTTCATAGGAGACAAGCGGAATTACAGCAATAATTAATTCTAGTTGAAGTTCAAAAATATTGAAGCTAACACTAAATGAAATAGTTAGTTCAGAGCATTCAGTTAGCAAGTTGCTAAAGGAGACAGTAACGAACTACATCTAGTTTGGAATGGTGTGAAAGATGTAGTTAACGACTTAAATGAGGCAGATTTTCAAGAACCATATATGTGCAGGCAAGAAGAATTCTAGGAGATGGTGGTGCGAAGTACCCACAAGAGAGGGAAGATAGCTGGTTTAATTTAAGATATCAGTTCTATTATTGCCATTTGAACAATGTGTGCCTAATCTGTGGAGTTACTAATTTTTATCTGATTTTGAGTGTTTTCATTTGGAGTTTTAATAGTATGACAAAAACATTGCATTTAAAAATTATGATTTTAACTCTGAGTTTTCTATTTGTAGCAAAGGAAGTGCCATCGAACTCATTTAGAAAGTTCATGATTAGAATTTTTATTGAAAAAACAAAAAACATGAATACTCAATTGCTATCAAAATTGAAAGAAATAGAAAATAAATTTAACAATATTAAAAAAACGTACTAGATTAGTCCGTGAGGGTTTTTGACTCCTCTCTTGGGGCTTCGTCGGAGCTTTTCCCGTTTGATGCCGAGGCTGTCTGGCCGGTCCGGTAATGTGGCTGTCGGAGAGGAACGTTCTCTACTCGATTTGATTGGGATTGGGTTGCGTCCGGTGGTGCCGATCTGTCAGCCCCTGTTT